GATATGATGAGCAGGGTGCCTCTTCTTAATTTGTAAATTCGTGGTCCCAGGATTTGGGGTTCTTGTGTTAATACGTGGCCATATTGATCAAATAGTGAAAATGCAATAAATCTTCTCTGCTCCTAGGAATCAAGCAGACAAACTAAGTGCATAATTTTGAGGATCAAGGATGCCTCTTCCAAAATTATGAAATTTACGGCCCCAGGTCAGGGGTTCTGGTGTAAGGGCGGTGCTCTATTGATCATTAAGTGAAAATGTATAACTTCCTTTAAAATCTTCTCCTCTCCCCTGTAGATTTTGCAGACAAACTATGTGCATTTTTATGATTGATAAGGGTACTTCTTCCAAAATTGCAAACTTCATGGCCCAAGGGTCAAGGGTTCTTGTGTTAGAACTGGGCTCAGTTGATCATTTGCTAGTGAAAGTGTATTTATTATCTGAAAATCTTTTTCTCTATTTCTGGGTATTTTAAGCAGACAAATTAAATACATGGTTATGATGAGCAAGAGAGCGGCTACCTAATTTATGAAATACATGTTTATGGCCCCTAGGTCAGGGGTTCTGGTGTCATGGTATGGCTCTGTTGTTTATATAGTAAAAAATGCATTTTTTTAAAAAAAAATCTCCTCTGTGCCATAAACATTTAGCAGGCAATTCAAGTACATTTTTGTAATAAGGAAGGGTGATTTTAACACTGTATCACTGATAGATGTGTTAGCTGCAGATTTGTAGCTCGTTAGTCTGAAAAGAAATGGGATTTACGAGCAGAGAGCTACAGTGCCACCCACTGAAAAAAGTGTTTGATTTTTTTTGCGCACAAAAAATGCGTTGTTTCTCGATTTATTTCTACGTATATTTGAACTACCATTTCAAAATATTAATATGCGTGTGTTCCTAACATATTCTTCTACTATTTCCACATCAAAACACTTCCTATATCCGTTGTTAATAGCTCTCCTAGGACCATCCAAAATGTAATTCGCATATTTATACTGTCATTTTGGGTGGCAAGATAGTTCGGCCCAACGCGCTTCGTGCAGATGTCAACTACATGTCTAGGAATTGTTTTGAAATCGAGCTTTTGTGCAGTTGAGGTAAGACTTTGGAGAAATTACCCAGAGCCGAGCGCAACTTTTTGTGCGCAATATTATATTTTCTAAGATTTTCTGTGGGTGGTACTGTAGCTCTCTGGTCTGTCATCTTTTTTACGGAGAGCTACAGTGCTGCGGCGACAGATATGTGAATTCATATCCAATGGGTCAGGCTCTCTGGTGCTGGGACGGTGATCCAGGACTTGATTATGTGGGGAAATTTTTACTCTACTTTCAGAGAAGTTATTCCCCTTTGATTATTCAGCTCGCTTGAAGCTGCCATAGCAAAATACATGTACATGTATACTACATTCAACTGTAGTTTACAAAATAATGCTTACTTTAGTTAATCAAAGTTTTAGCCAGAGTAAATGAAAGTTTTAATTCAAGTAAATCAGTTTCAGCTTTTTTTAACTCTATAATAAATAGATTTTGCCATAATACCAGTCTTGTAGAGTGGGTTTTCGCCTCTTAAATCTTCCCCCACCCTCTGAAAACTGGCTCTAGAGTAGTATCCCCACCGTAGAATAGGATCTAGAGTAGGATTTTCTCCTCGGAAAAATGACTCTAGAGTAAGATTTCCCCTAAGGAAATCCTAAACAAGATTCAATTTTCTGGGAGGGGGGGGGGTCCTACTCTGTGTAATAGTGCGATTTCCACCAGGCTTCAATCACGCCTATACTTAGGAATGACGGGGGAGAGGCGACATATTGTTACAGATGTTCCTTCTATCCCTTCTATTATTTCCTCCACAGGTGAGCTCGCAGTAGATATTAATGAAACTTCAAAAAAAAATTATAATCAAAAGGTCAAGTTGTGCTAAAATTTTTAAAATGGTGACCAGTTCCGTTGAAACAGTCGAAGTATGAAAATTGAAAATTTTAAACCTCATTTTTCTCAGTAACTTTCCCAACAGTTCTTTTGGAGTATTAAAGTCTTATTCTTTCCATTTAGTTTAACTTTTTTCTCGGGAAAAAAATATTGTTCAATGTAATCGGTTTGACAAATATTAACTGTAGCCATAGAAACGAAAAGTAGATTTTTAATTTTGAATGGACTTTTTTTTTCTCCAATTGTATTTCAAACTCCATGTACATAAATGTACATAATATTGATGTGAAAGTGTCTCTCCAAGTTTCTGGATGTTAAATGCCCAATATAGCTGCCGTTGCCAATGGACTTTAAATGGGACAATTTCTAAAATTTTGAAATTTTACAATCCTACCAGGGAGTATTTGCTCTTTACATTCAACTCCAATTTATACTGCTGGGGTCGAGGGGACATACTAGTGCTTATGTAGTGATTTCAAAGCAGTGTTTCTGGTATTGTTTTGGGAATTATTACTTGTTTTTGGTTTTGGCGAATACTCACAAAATAGGATGTAGAACCTATACATATATTATAAATTTAAGAATTTTCTCACACCTCACACACTCTTTGTAAAAAGCATCGACCCATAGATGAAGTTAATATTTTCTCAAATTTTCTGTATAATATCACGACTTATATATTGCAATAGCATTTCACACGAAAGTATAATTAAAAACTTATTTTATCTGGAAATTATTTGAACTACGAATTCCTGGACGCGTTTGATTTACACATCCTTGCACTTTCACAAATTTTATCTTTATCCCTAACATTTAAGAAAAGAAGCGATTTTGTTGTGTATTAATGAAAAACATTACATCTATAATCCAGAAAATTCAGAGTAGAAATGTGCGAAAGCAAACCCCCTCACTAATATCGTCAGCCCGTGCTCAGTGTTGTGTACAGAGTTTAACAAATTGAATAAACCCGTGAAACGTAAACTGTTTTTGTAAACAGGGCACGAGCTCTGTTATTGTTAATGTTTACGATTCACCGGGTGTGTTCAAGTGTTAAAGTCTGCACACACCACTGAGCACGGACTGACAATACTGTGAGTGGGTTTTGCTTTCGAACATTTCTACTCTGAATTTTCTGGATTATAGTTTTAATATTTTTCATTAATACACAACAAAATTGCCAGTTTTCTTAAGTATTAAGAATAAAATTAAAATTTGTGAGAGTGCAAGGATGTGTCAATCAAACGCGTTCAGAAATTTGAAGTTTCAATAACTACGAGAAGAAATAAGATTTTTATTATATTTTAGTATGAAATGCTATAGCAACATATAAGTCATTAAATTTTGCAGAAAATTTGAGAAAATATTGACTTCAAATCTGTGACCAAGCACCTTTAATATTTCATTTTAAATTAAAAAAAAATCTTGTGTCGAAAACCTCATCATTCCATTAAAACATCATTTGAGAAAGAAAGAGGGGGATTTAGCTCTAGTCTGCTCCTCGGGGATGGGAGGGGGTCTTACTTTAGAGTACAGATTCCGGGAGGGGGGCTGGCTATGGGGAAAGTTCTACTCTACAAATTCGAAGTATTTTGTTATGAAATTCAAATTGTAATATATTCTAAGTAATATTCGAAAATAAGTAATACCCGGTAATTCATTTGTGCTCTTTTGCAAGATGCTCCGATTTGCGGTGCCCTTGTTTGCTTTGGTATTTATAGCATTGGTATCTCTGAAATTCCATGTCAGTGCATTGGAAATAATAGATTACTTCACAAGTAATAATTCCTTTTAGTATCATATATATTAAATCGGAGCATCTCCTCCCAAAAGAGCACATATGAATTATTACTAGGGATGTCAGCGAATATTCGAACATTCGAATATTCATTCGATGAGTTGATATTCGAATATGAATTTAAGATTCGAATATTCGGTGTCTTACAGATTTCTTAAAAAGAAGTACTGTGATTAATAAATTTTGATTAACTGAAAACCTTCTTAGAATGTCTAAAAGGCGTGAAGAGTATACTTATCAAAATAAATTTAATTGATCATTGAATGAGTGTCTGGTACAATTAGTCTGTAATTAATATTGTAAAGGGCTCAATTTCAGAATAAATGTGTAAATTACTTGATTATCTCGGGTTGTACATAATCCTGAATTTTATATTCATTATCGGTAAATTAATTAATTGTCTATGGAAATATTTGTTTTTGTTTTTTAAATATTTTATCAAAGATTACAATCATATCTCTTATTAGGCTGATAATTGTAGTTAATTGTAATACACGTATTGAAATCTGACATTGTCAAACATTGACAAAGAATACCTACACTAAACCTTTCATGGGAGTAGGATGATGCATATTTAAAATAAACTAGATTTTATTTATTTCATCGAATATTCGAATATATTCGAATACTTTCATAGAATATTCGAATATGAATTATTGACAAAATTGACATCCCTAATTATTACTTGTGAAAATTCCGTTACGCACGCACTCAGTCACCACCCACAGACAAGCGCATTACTACATCCCCCCAAACTTCGTTGCGAGGGGATGATTAAACTGTAATGATTAAATTTCAATGTGACAGAGTTTCTCAGAGTTTCTCAGAATCACAGCACATCAAAGTATCAAAGTTTTGTAGAAAAATTAATGTTAATTAAAGTATTAAAGATATATGCATGTATACTTTTGTACATTATACTTAACTAAAGGAAATTTTTGGTAAGGAGAAAATAAATGAAAAGAAATTCAACAGTTTACCCCTGTTTTATTATACAAGTTATACATGTATTTCATTTTTGTGTACAATATTTTCAGAAGTAATAAAATAACTTTTTAGAAAAGATAAAGCTAAAAAGTACGTACATTGTTGCAAAATTATAAATGTCGATCATTTAAATCTCAGTTCAACAGTTTACCCCTGTTTTATTATACAAGTTATACATGTATTTCATTATTGTGTACAATATTTTCAGAAGTAATAAAATAAATTTTTAGAAAAGATAAAGCTAAAAAGTACGTACATTGTTGCAAAATTATAAATGTCGATCATTTAAATCTCAGTTCAACAGTTTACCCCTGTTTTATTATACAAGTTATACATGTATTTCATTATTGTGTACAATATTTTCAGAAGTAATAAAATAACTTTTTAGAAAAGATAAAGCTAAAAAGTACGTACATTGTTGCAAAATTATAAATGTCGAGCATTTAAATCTCAGTTATATCAGTTACATCATTTTTATCTCGCTGACAATTTACATAGAAACGCTTTTGACCTTTCTGACCCGTAACAAGCGACGTAGAATTCCTATTACTGGTGGAGAGACTTTCTTGTTGATTTCCACATCTGTTTCTTAACATGTTGAATACCTTCTTGTTACAGACATATGAAAGAAACAAAAACATACCCTGCAATCCATTAATAATAGTAGCCAAGAATGTAAAAAGGGATATATCGAAGAATCCGTCCACCACCATAGAAATCCATGATATTCCGGTCAGTAAAAACAGTTTCAAAAAGATAGAAAAGTCATTTCTGTCTTGTGAACTTTGTATTTTCGGAGTGTTACGAATATAATGAAACGTTATTGAAAACATGACTATATTAAATATAATTTGGAGAATGATTGGACAAATAAATGTAAGAAGTAAAGCTAAATGACTCTTTAGAAAGCATCTACTTCCTCCATAACCAAATTGATCGGATTTACCTACACCATACTCAAGGAGCATGTTGATAACAATTGGGAAAACAGGCAACAGATAGGAAATAACACAGTATGTTATGAATAATTTTCTATCGCCAGATTCATCACCACGGACCAGGGAATTACCAACAAAAAGTTTAAACATGTGAAAACAACACACATTTGTACACGTGAATACGGAGATCCAAAAATAATGTGTCAGACCACCTACACAAGCGCACAAAGTCCTATCGTCAATAGAAGATCGTACTAGAAACAATAACTGGGCAATGAAAAGAGAGAGCGCAAAGCACATTATATTTTTGCCTGGGACCGTCCTCAAAACAGGTAACATGCAGTAAATCAGGAAGGTTAAAAACAACGATAGAAGTGAAAGAATAGTACTGATATATGTCACTACCATCAAAATTGATCCCATAACTGTTGCTATTGTTGATGCAGATAAAGAGTGCTGGAATTGTTTGTAGGAATCTGAACAAATTCGGACACTGTTATTTTCACTACGCAGAAATTCGTTTATTTTGAAGTTTCGGTTAATTGTTGCTACATAAATGGAAGTATGATCTTCTGAAAAAACATACTCGTCTTCCTCTAATTGAATTTGGGTACATATCAGTAATTTATTAATGTCCAATGTAATTTGTGAATTACTAGTTATTGATTTAAAGTAACAACCGTGTGGATTTGACAATTGTTGACGAATCAGTAAGGGAAGAAACCATGCCTCTAAACTTTCTTTAAAAGAAACAGATACTCCATTACTTATAAATGAACGATAAGTCAAATTCAAAAAATGCAACTCTAATTCTCTGCGATTGATCGGAGAGCTGCTATTTTTGATGCCAAGTCCAAAGTAAACGATGGCTTCTTCTGACGTTTGATTTGATGACATTTGTAAAAAATCGCAAGATTTATTCGAATAAACATATTTTTCAGTAACATAAAGCTCTCCTTCATGTATTTCTTGTTGAATAAGTGTTTGAAGATCCGTCAAAGTGGAAAAGAAACTCAGTTCTTCGGAGCCAATAGACAACATGACTCTCAGAGCCAAGTTATAGCCTACCTTCTCTGCATGCGTAATAAGATAAATGCAGGAAGACTTTTCTAAAAACTTCCCCCTCGAGCAATATAACTTTCTGCAACGAGTCTGCAATGAGAAAGAAAGAGTACATAAATATTGTTCAAAACAAAGCAGTGATCTATGACTTTTTGAGCACATACATGCATATAGTTCCAATGAAAAATATTTTTGACGAAATCATTTGACTTCGGACAGTTTTGTTTTCTTCAAATTTAACAAAATTGGCCCATTCAGCAATATTGTATTAATTTAACATTGATGGCATTGTTAATGGGATATTTGTCCATTGAACCATATTGTACTGATTTCATATTGATAACATTGTTGATGAGTAATGGCCCATTCACTTGACATTGATAACATTGTTAATGAGATATTCGCCCATTTTACCCATATTGCGTGGCATTGTGCATTCGTGAACTTTACCCAGTGCACAATTTAGCCCACTTGGGGTCGCCACTTTTGTTGTTGATTGTTGGGGAAACGACCCGGCGGCCGCTTCTAAATTTGTTATGAAATATGTCACCGTGACCAGATACGACGAACTTTAAAAAAAATCTCATCAACTAGTGTTTATTCTTACGTTGCGGGTTCGAATCCCACTGTGGGACGTGGAGACCGGTCCTTTGGATGAGAGCGTATAAACCGAGGTCCCGTGTCGCAGTAGGTGCTGGCACGAAAAAGATCCTTTACTGCTCAATGGCCCTAAGTGCCGAGTATAGGTCATAATTTGCAGCTCTCCACCGGCAAGTGGTGGCGTCTCCATATGAGTGAAAAATTCTCGAGAGGGGCGTTAAACAATAAAACAAACAAAAACCAAAGGAGTTATTTCTAATAACAGCTGAGATAATGTCATGCATGTTAGATAGCAACATGCTATAGCTTTGTGCCAAACGTTTCATTTACAATAGTCCCGAAACATTTTATATCGTGTGTAGTAAAAGATAAATTAGTTAAATTTAAGAATACCTTATATGCATCGTAATACTCTCTTTCTGAACACTCTCCTTTCGATATGTCGCTCATTTTATCTACAGTTCTATAAATAGAAAATAGTTCCCGGTAGGAGAAATTAGGAATGCTCCATTCATTGTCCTTAACACTAGTCACACGGATTACAGGGTTGCAGCGCACACAATACATATTCTTAAACGGATAAGACCTTGTGTCTAGTTCACCATGCTCGCATCGAAAGGATGTATTGTCGGTGTTAGGTAATTTCGATTCTCCAAATAAATTACATTTTGATATTGGTTCTTCATAAACTTTATTGTTGCAAAGGTCACAAATTTGGTTTCTATAGTAGTAGTTGCTGGACTTTGCCATCACTGTCATTGTTGGATCCTCACACATAATCCGGGCATTTTCACTCACTGACGTTGCCATTCCGGTTACATTGCATTTTCCTATGATTAATTGACTACTCGGTGTACAACTGGTAACGTTATTTTCTGTCGTAAAAGTTATTGAACAATTTAAAAGTTTTGCAGTTTGCAGCAACTTTTTCATTGAGGAAATAAACTCTGGAAAAATAAAGTTTGGACAAACAAGCTTCATGTTCCAAGCTTTTACCTCCGTTGAATTTTGACTCGCCATTTTGTGTTGATTATGACAAAAATAACAGTAATGGTTTTTGTAGGCTTCGTTTGTTTGAACATTAATGACGGGAGTGTAAAGCATGTCATAATCTTCTATCTGTTCACATCTAAGTTTTATATCATAATTAGTGTAATTAACTGGACATTTACTGATGAAATAATTATATACATGTAATGCAAAACTTTGAATGTAAGCATTACTCCCTAAAAATGCAGGTTTACACGCCCAGCGTTGATAATACGCAACATCCGGGCAACAAGACTCAGTTTTGTAACATTCCCGATCACAGGAACAAGATCTCCTGCTTTTGAAACCAGGATACATTTTATTGACTGTATGATTTTCTTGGCACCAATCCTGGTACCCACCAGCTCTTAAATATTCTTCGTACAAAGCTGACAAGTTCACCCGCTCCTCTGAGACTTGTTTATCATATGTAAGATTCTGTAGGGACAATAACTGTTCAATATTGTTTACTACATCCCATGAAAGAAATTCGACTCTAGCAGTATATTTCTTCTTTTTGAAATTATATTCTTCTGATATTTTTACTTCAGTTTCGGTAAAATAAAGTCTTCGTTTGTATTTTACTGTGCTTTTTTCCAATAAGCTTTCTTCAGTTTGTCTATTTGTGTATTGGTATATATTCTGTTGAATATGTACATTCTCAATAGACTTATCTTTGTTATGTCTTTGTTTAGTTCCTGTATTGCAGAGAAAGCAGAAAACATTCTGAAAAAGTCCGTACTGGATATTGTAATTCCTACAAGCGATTTCGACATCCTCGTCATATTTGTCCCAATATCCAGTGACATTACATTCTTTGATCATAGACTGCTTTTTACAGGGAATGGTGTAGCTACCTGCTACAGGTGTAAATTCTATTGAACAATTATATCGTTTAATATCTTTCCATATCTTGCCAAGGTCAGAATAGAAATGTAAATTTAAGTTCAGAAATGGACAAGAAATAGAGAAAGGCCACTGAATGGTTTCCTTTTCCCCGTGACATTTAGAGCACTGGATATTTACATACGTTCTGTTTGTGATAACTGAATAAACGGGCATCTGTTGAACAAAATTAGTCTCGTCAATTGGTACAAAGCAGCTAACTTTAGATGATGTATTATTTTCTTCCGGACAAAACGTTATCATCTTGAATTCATCATTTCCTATGAATCTTTGACCATTCACATAGTATATTGTTTTCACACAAGTACTTAGAGATTTATCTAAGCAGCATTCATCATTCACTTCACAATCTTGTGTGCAGGAACATAATGGGCATATATTTGCAGGGGTATAATTGCTGTTAAAATCAGTCCGAATGTTCATGGTAGAGCAAACTGAATCACTGCCACAGTAATCCGTGTACTGTATAAGCAAATTTGTCATATTATACAAGCGTCCACTCAGACAATCCACTGTTGCTGTTATCCACAACAGAACAAGTAGAACTTTGTTCGCCATGCTTACATGCCTATATATATTGTAAATGTTATTCAATGTGATTCCATCAGCAGTACTGAAATAGCAAATTGTGTAAGCATTGATATCAAAATTGCTCGATAATGCAGTTCTACCACATACATAACATCTGTTCAATTGGCAGATTTGAATTCTGCATTTTCTTTGGTGCATGAGAACATTTTGTCATCAGACGAGAAATACCTTATCTCCACGAGATTAAGTGTTTTATGCTTGAATACCATATATGGCTATAAAGTACTGCCATTTTTATAAAAATATTTCATCATCAACAGCAAACATTATTCAAATAGTTTCTCTTTAATTAATGGACGATTGTAGTGATGTTTGATGGTCTTTTAAGATCAAATAAACAAAGATAATGTATTGTTCGAAGAGATACTAACCTGTGCGTACTTTTTCAATCATCCATAATAATGGGGAACTATATCTCTGAACGATCCCTGATCGTAGCGGCAATTTTTCAATCACTATTAAAAGTCAGAATCTGCTGTCCGTTGTGAGAACCATTTGCACTGGATGAAAAGATAATTAGGAATTATTCGAAAACGAATAGAAGCCTCTGTCTAAAATTAAAGGATTTGAAACAGTTTTCAGCAATGGAATTGATAAGTATTTGTAAAACTGACATATAGAATAAAGTGTTAATTTCTGAAAAAAATGTCAACGTAAAAATGTATAGGGATGGACATGATTTGAATGGATTTTAACGCCTTCTGATTAATTAAAAGTTGTTTGCATGAATAGTGAAATTTTAAGCATTGTATTTTGCAGCTTTATTGCCTCCAAAAGCGTTTATGGATATATCATTTTAAAAAGTAAATAAAATAATTATACTTATTTCGTTAATAAATGACATATGGAAACCATCCATATATCTGTGAAACTAAATGCTCCTTTTCCATCGACCTTATTGTGGATTATATACAATGATACTATTCAGTTTACTCTAAGTGATAAATTCCTAGATACATTACTGATGGAAATAAGATGAAAATCAATTTCTTATTCAACTTATAAGAAAAAGAAAATAGCCGAAAAAGAATTGCTATTGAAAAAGATATAGTAAAACTGGAACAGAATTTTACTCATGAATCTATTGCAGAACTAGAAAAAACATGAAAAATTTGAGAACATTAGAAAAATCAAATTTAAGGGTCAGTGCATCAGGTCAAATGTAAAATGGATAGAAGGAGAAAAACCTTCAAAATATTTCACCAGTCTTGAGTCAAGAAACTATCTGAGTAAAGTTATACCTAAAATTGAAAAGGAGGATGGATCAATTATTTCTAACCAATTTGATATTTTGAATGAAATTAAGATGTTCTATGAAAATCTTTATAAAAGTGGGGAGAATGTGCAATCAGGATGCATTCATGAAAACTGAAAATATATGATGTTCCTAAATTAAATTAAAAAAGAATCAGACAGTCTTGAAGGCCCGTTATACAATTCTGAAGTTCTGAATTTTTTGAAAAATATGAAAAATGAGAAAAGTCCTGGACCAGATGGACTTGCCAGTGAATTTTTTAAATTTTTTTTTGGCAGGACATAGGTGCCTTCTTTACAAAAGCAATAAACATCTCATATGAATTTTCACATTTTACAGAATCAAATAATTTAGACATAATAACTTGCCTACCAAAAGCAGGAAAACAAAAACAATTTTTGAAAAATTGGCGCCCAATCAGTCAATTGAATGTGATTTATAAAATAACCTCAGACTGTATTGCTGAACGATTGAAAACGGATTGAATAAATTAATAACTAAGGACTAAATTGGTTTTTTAAAGGGTAGATTCATTGGTGAAAATATTAGACTGGTTTATGAATTAATGCACTACACAGAACAAAAGCAGATTCCAGGCTTATTGATTTTAATTGACTTTGAAAAAGCTTTTGGTACTATATCTTGGAAGTTTATATATCAAACATTAGACTTCTTTAATTTAAGGAAGTTAATTAAAAACTGGATTCAAACTTTTTATAATGGAATTAAATCATGTATCATTCAAAATGGAATTACTTCCATCTGTTCCTTCAAAGAGGATGTAGACAGGGGGAGAAGCAATTTCCACATATCTTTCTCTACTTTTTGCTGAAGTTCTGGTTATTCTAATTCGAAACAATAAAGATATAAAGGAATTATTATTGATGGAGAAGAATATAAACTTTCACAATATGCTAATGATACTTCAATAATATCTGATGGATCACCAAAGTCTATGGATGGTATATTAAGAGAACTTGACTATTTTGTATTTGTATCTGGTATGAAAATTAATTTCACAAAAACTAAAATGGTTTGGATTGGCAGTAAAAAATTTTCTAATGAAGTTATTCATCACTCGAGATGGCAGGATTGGAATAAATCAACTTTTGATCTTCTTGGTATAAAATTTAGACGAAATGATTGAACTGAATTATCCCCCAACCCCCCCAAAAAAATGAAATAAAGCGGTTTATAAAACAATGGCAGTTAAGAAAACTTACTCCAAGTGGTAGATTAACAGTGATTAAATCCATGATTATACCCAAGATGAACCATTTGATATTAACTATTCCGAACCCTAATAAGGAACTTCTAGAAGAATTTGAGAAAGACCTTTTCTGCTTTCTATGGGGGAGTAGAATTCATAAGGTTAAGAAAAACATTATAATTCAAGACTATAGAAATGGGGGGGGGGGGTTGTGTGTGAAAATGATTGAATACTAGTATATTGATTTTTTATGTGCATTAAAATCAACATGGATCCGAAGATTGATTCACTGAGACACAAACTGGCTAAAAATCTTTGAATAAGAATAAGGAATGAAAATTGAATTTCTATGGGTAAGGTCTTTAGACTTTACTGTTAACTTGTGTTATAAAATAAGTAACAAGTTTTGGAAAGAGGTTTTACTTGATTGGGTCAAAATCATTGACTCTGGTAGTCAAAATAATATGCAAATTCTTCATGAACATATATGGTTCAATCCAAGAATTAAAATGAACAACTCATTTATATTCCTGAAAAGTTATTTTGATGCAGGCTTTGTTTTTATAAAAGATCTGCTTGACTCTGATGGAAAATTTGTAAGCCTTGAGTACCTCACAAGTCTAAATGTAAAAACACATTTTGTAGAATAAGTAGCTGTTTTAAAAATATTGAAGAGTATAGAAAAAATTTACAAAAGCACAAAAGGATGTAAAGATATTTACAGCATTCTCATTAAGAAGAAAAAAGAAACAATTAAGGCAATGGAAAATGAGAAAATAATGGAATATTTTTTCGGGATATAGAATGGAACAAAATATTTGAACTTCCTTTTAAAATCACTAAAGAAGCAAAGTTTCACTGGTTATAGTTTCAGATTTTGTATAGGATTATTGCAACAAATTAGTACCTCTATAAATTCAAACTAATTGAATCACCTGCATGTTTCTTTTGCAAACAAGATGTAGAAACAATTGAACATTTATTTTTCGAATGTTTCTATTAAAAAAAATTATGGTGCTACCTTGAGGAGTGGATTATATATAAATTGCATTTTTTCATGAATTTTGATAGAAAAGATATACTTTTTGGCAAATTCAACAATAAAACATGTTTAGACTACAAAATATATTAATACCACAGGCCCTTAGATCGCTTTAAAAAAAATTAAGGTGTTAAAAAAATAAAGGTAAGGAACTCCTTTCATAGGGTACCCACATTCGCCAATAAAATACTTTTAAATCAAAGGATCTAAACCTTTACTTTCTATTCATAACTATTCACATATAAACAATCTACGTTACTACCAACGTTCTTTCTGAAATTCCTTATACTTCCCGAACCGTTCACGGTAGCTCAGTCGGTAGAGCGCTCGCTCCGTGATCGGGAGGTCGTGAGTTCGAATCTCGGCCGCGACAGACCTAAGTCGATAAAAAATAGGTAGCAACTGTTCCTTCGCCATGCGCTCGGCACTTTGAAGTGAAAGTTGCGGGTCCTTCGGATGAGACCTTAAAAACCGAGGCCCCGTGTCACGGCAGGCGTTGGCACGATAAAGATCCCTCACTGCTCAATGGCCCTGAGTGCCGAGTAAAGGTCAAAATTTGAAGCCCTTCACCGGTATATGGTGACGTCTCTATATGAGTGAGAAATTCTTGAATGGGACGTAAAACAATATACAATCAATCAATCAATCAATATACTTCCCGAGATATGCTGAAATCATATTTCAAAATTGACCTTATTTTTTTCTCGACATTAGCTTGGGCCTCTGAATAGTTGCACTAATTGTAAAGCGAGAACGACGGGACGAATTCTTCCTGGAATTTATTCTATACTCTCTGAATATTTGCTTTTTTAGCACCCAGTCTCTACAAAATTTTATCTGATTTGATCATATGGTCTTACTAAGTTACCAACAACATTTTAGCGGTATAATTTTAAAAAAATCAAAAGGTATATTATACATTAATTCCGGGAAAATTTCGTTCAATCATAGTTCTTTTTACATTAACAAACAACATGGCTGTGAAGTTGTTGAAGCAAACGTTTTCTAATATTTTTTTTCGCAAAAGGAATTATTACAGACTAAACCTTACGATCTGGAGTAAAAAACCAACTTTAAAATGTTGAAAGATTCTGCAAATACTATCTAGCTGTTCGCTGCAGTTCAAACACCGTCTGTATACATGTATAAATGACCAGGGCCCAAGCTTATGTCGAATAAAAAAAGGTAGGTCAATTTTGGAATTTATTTCACCATATCTCGGGAAGTACATGGAATTTCGGAATGAACTTTGGTAGTAATGCAGATTGATTATATATGAATAGATATGAATAGAAAGTTAAACTTTAGAGCATTCGATTTAAAAGTATTTTATTAGCGAAAATGGGTACCCTATATAAGGAGTTTCAAACCTTTATCTTTTTTATAAACCCCAACTTTATAAGTCGGATTTAAGCAATCCAAAGGCCTGTGATTAATAGTATATATATTTACTTCCTGCAGCAGCACTCTCAGAATTATATATATATATATATATTTATATATATATATATATATATATATATATATATATATATATATATATATATATATATATATATATATATATATATAATTTAATTTTGTTTGTATTCTAGCCTCTGATTGGTTAATATCCAAACACAAATTATTTCTGTATAACCTGGTTTGGTATGGGGACACCCCCCCCCCCCCCCTGACAACCAGCTGAATCGTCTGTATCCATGCAATCATCTCATTTCTAGTCCTCGGGATTCATGGAAAATTCCAGATTTAATAAATGTACCTTTTACTTCGAACAGTAACTCGAATCTTACAACATGTAATCAAACAACATGGCTGCTAGGACTATGTTTCAGTTTTTACCTCCCCTCGCTTCCCATCACTTCCGTTACTACGGTTGTATTATTGAGCGGCAAATTTGAACTAATAAAAAGCAACGAAATTTTACAAACACAGTTGTTTAATGATTTTAAAATTAAATTATAAGGAATGACTCTAATTCTTGGCCAAATTATTCGAGTATAACCTATTTTGGGTCAGTTTACGCTGTTTTATAATCCGCTTCGCGGATTATAAAGCGTAAACTGACCCAAACCAGGTTATACTCTAATTTGGCCAAGAATTAGAGTCATTCCTAAAATATATATATATATATATATATATATATATATATATATATATATATATATATATATATATATATATATATATATATATATATATATATATACGCCAAAAAACACTTGCATTATTAATGCCTCCTCCTTCACTGCTATATATTGACTTTAACATTCGACAAAGTTATATTCCAGAACAAGTGTATTTCTCAAGAGAACTTGGTATCATATATTGATGATATCAGAATATGCATCAAGGCTTTAAGAAACCATTGGCCACGTCATATAAAATGCCCATGGCAATTGAAACAGGGACAATCTATGAATATCGTATTTCTCACCATGACATTAATGCGCATTTTATATAAATCAACTCAAAAACCTGTCTCCCTATTGCATTATTTGTTTGCGAATAGAAAATTACCATAATCCCAAATCGATTTTCCCCTACAATTTTTGACTATTCTAAATACTTGGAAAAAAAACATCAAAAGTTCTAATCAGTCAAATTTGACCATTATTTCACAAAATACACTTGATAAATGGTACATACAGCTAACAGCGTTTCCCTTGCATTGTTGTATGATATCAATGGAATTCTTTATAAATGACACAGAAAATATAGAGGATTTTTAATGTTTTCCTAGGTGCATATGGAATTTATATCACTAGCGAAACAGGAATCTTTCTTAATACTTCCATGAGTGCAAGACACGAGTGAAAAGATACAAATTTTGTTTTACTAGTGAAATGAATAATATATCCATCTACAAAACACTGGATTTCTAATTTTTACATTCTTCGTTTTTCCGAAGGTACTGTGTATCTGACCTAACATACACGCATAGCACTATTTTTAGAATTTTACTCAATGTATAAATTACAGTATTTTACTGTTGAAATTATAATAAATGATGATATTCATTGCAGTCTACATGACTTATATTTTTCGTATTTATTCACAATAAATAGTACGTGTCACTGATGTACTTCATTTCATATCGTATGTTTATTAAAAATTAATGTTGAAATATATGATGAAATAATATGGCTGTAAACTAAACATACTCTGTGTGTGTGTGTGTGTGAGGGTGTGTGTGTGTGTGTACCTTCAAAAACTTGGTAGAAATTCTCTCTCTCTCTCTCTCTCTCTAAGAGTAAACAGCAATCTGAGTGCATGTTGTATGAATGTCTGATCGAGTTGTAAACAATGCACAAGCATTACAAAATGTGTAATTCTCTGACAAAAGAATATAGGAATTTTTTTTTTTGTTCATTAAACATGACATTCTGTTGTTTGGTCAAAACTTTCATTAACTATATGATGTACAAGTCAAGCGAGTAATGTATCGTCGTGTTCATCAAAGATTATTTCTAACCGAGTGGAGTGTTCGACAGAAAGTGAATCTCAAAAGAATTATTTTTGTCGATTCTATACAAAAACAGAAATTTTGATAATGAAAATCCATTACTTTTTCATGAAGACCTTTCTTGTTTTCAGTTTATATTACCATCGCTTGGCGGGGATAGGTCGGGCAAACTCAGCGAAGTTTACTCTAGCCGATTTTTATTATTTCCTGCCAGTCCAGGGTTCTCCATCATTTCAAATTTAACTGTGGCGCAAGACATACGCCAAGTGCTAATATTCGCGGTCATTTCGCGACCGAATTCGCGAAGGAACCACGAAATAAATTGAAAACAAAAACACAACCCCAGTGAATCAAGAGTTTAATACACAAATGGAATTTATTATTTGGGAAACTGATTATTAAATTTAATAATAAAAGTAATTAATCGATATCGATTAAACATAGTGTAAAACAAAAGTTAGGATGTTTCCAAAGTATATGCATACTGTGAAAAAGACCCCTCCCCCTTTTTTAACCGTGAATATTAGCACTTCGTGTATGTCTTGCGCCACAGCTAAATTTGAAATGATGGAGAACCCTGAGTTTGCCAGGCTTAATCGTCTAATAGGCTCAAACACTTATATCTGGTTGAAGGACATACGCAACGTAATTTTGATCCCTGAATAATTTAAGAAATCCGATATATAACTGAAGGACATTTGTGCCATTATATGATGCGTGGTAATGCCGTACACTTCCTTTGAATTAAATATATAGGAAATACTAGCTAAAACTATATTTTTGTCAATTTAAAAAAAAAACACAAGGATTTTCATCATTTGACATCTGTTCAAAACTCCGGGTTATGTATGCTGATTTTTTTTTTTGTCTAAGAACATCTGATGGTACTATGATTTTTGTCTAAGAACATCTGACGGTACTATGAATTTAAATTAAGAAAATCTTTGGAAAATTATCAGTGGGAAAGGTACATTGAGGAGTACATGTACATGTACGTTGCACGTCCTTAAAATCACTGGATGAAGAAACATTTTGATTTATGCTTGCATTGTTTCTTTGATTGTTTAGATTGAAGATCAATTATCATCAGCGAGATACATATGTACATTGTAGAAATACCATCACAAGTTTTTGAATGTGTAATATGTTAAATGACGTAAACTTAAAAAATGTGGAAAATAGTTTACACACAAATATTTACCAAAACGGCATCAGAAAACAAATGAATTTAAATATAAAACCTCAAACACTTCAAAAATAAAATTCTCTTTTTTGCAAAGTGTTCTGGGCTTCATATTCTAGTTCAGGAGCCTTGAGTGACCGATACAAGAGGATTTTTCAAGGACACGTACAATTTAAGGAGACATTTAGCAACTCACACACAGTAGAGAGATATTTGGAACAAATGCGGAGGTCACTTGCGAGATATCGATCTCATTAAACACAAGAAACACTATTGCAGAAATCTTCCACAAGACTTGTATGTTGACCTGATGGAAAATAGCAGCCTTCTTCAACAAACACGTGTCTTTTTCCCCCGAGTTTCATTTTAGTGAGATGGCTGCTATATATAACATGTATAATGAATTGAATTGACTTAAAAATCTAGTACAGAGTTACAATATGACTGCAGCTGCCTCTGATGACCGTCTTTAAGTTTATTTACAAGTCATCTGACAAATTGCACATTCATAAAACTGTGTAAGTTTTTTCTCTTTATCACACTGAGGATAACTTGAACTTTCATACAAAGAAATAAACAATTTAAGCATCAATTACATCTAGCAGAGGCAGATTTTAAAAAGGGGGAAAGGAACATGCGCTCACCTAAATTTGTAAAATTAAAAAAAATTGTTTGTTTCGTATTTAAAAGGAGAATTTTAAATTCTCCTAAAAGGAGAATTCTTAAAAAGAATTTTTTGGAGAAAGAGGTACATGTATCAATAAAATAATTTGCTTCTGTTTTTGTGAAGTAGAGCTTTTGGGGATGAATTGCAAGGCTTTTTTCCATAGACCTTAAAATATTAGTGGTTTTATTGCTTTTTATCATTGATTATAAAGGCAAAGAGTAAAAATATATTTTTTGACGATTTTATTTATGCCCTATCAAATCTAGAATCGAGGAGCTTCGACTCCTGTACCGACAGGGGGCGTAAATGTGGCCCCAAGGCCCATATCAATTGTTTTTAAATTAAGTACATGTACATAGGTAAATACTCAGTAGTATATTATATATTAGTTTGCTTCGAAGTCAAATCTTTACCGAAATCGACCCCCCCCCTTTCCGTTGAAACTAGAACCCCATATATTCCTTATATGAGTATTTTTGACTTTCTGGTTGTCAAAAAAGGAAGATCATCAATCAATAACATAATTGGATTACTTACTATATAGTAATACTTCATAAATATTATTTAATGTATTTCTTTTCACCGTCGTATCATACTAGAGGCTTAAGCCTGACAAACCTCCGATGTACATGTACATGTACCATAGTTATCGTATTGTTCCGTGCCGTATAGCAATTGTGCAAATATCAGTTACAAGTGCAACAAAAAGCTGTTACCTACCTTTCAACCGAATTGAAGCGAATAAATTCGATTCCACTGGCATTTTAAGCAATTCTCACATTCTTTTTTTTGTGACTCCTCCAAAGAAACGCTGGTGGACACTGTCATATATTTGCATGTTTCATTGTGTTACGAACACTCTCACAGTTAAAAAAAATATATATAAATAACTCACCAAAATGTCAGGGATTCTGGCGAGTACGTTTTTTTACAATGACAAAGACAACAAATGGATGTAGCCACAGGTCGTTCATTATATTTATCCAACATATTACCGGCTGCACAGAAAACATTCTCATTATAACTATAGTGATATATCCATTTGTTGTCTTTGTCATTGTAAATGATTATTGTTTCAGAAAACAATATCGCAGTTTCATCCACATGTAACATACGCTCCACGCATACTGAAAACAGTGGGGCACAGTAGGGCTATGTTCCATTAGTGAATAGTTTTGTGTGTCTTTAATAATGCATCATTATAAAACAATCAGTAATAACAGGTTAAAATATCGTATGCTAATGAAAACAAAATGCAGGAAAATTATGCACCGTCTCATCTAGTAATGATTTTTAAAAAATGAATTACCGGATTCACGTAAGTCTAAATACTATAGTATTTCAATAACTACAGTGTAATTACCATTTTAATTGCAGTAATTGTTGTTCAGGTTGGGTTGGATAGAATGATGTTTGGGGATGTCTGTCCTATCTATTATCTTTGGGGGTTCTCAAAGGTATGTTTCTTCAATAAATTGAAAATTTGAAATACTTACCTTTTAAATTGATGCTTAATTGCACTAAAATACTGAGTGCAGACAATAGATAGTGCAAACGTTGCAAAATGGCAATTTCCTCTTTTTCACTGTAAATAATAAAAATCTAGGCATTTTTGTTTCGAACATGACAGGGTGATCGTGAATGGATTCTTGCCTTTTCTAAGATTATTTGAAATATTTGCAGTAATAATCAGTATAACAGTAAGGCATTAAAATTTTAAGAAAATAAATTTATCATTGCTGGCGCTCTCCAGCACTAGAAACTAGTAGAACTTTAAGTCCTCTTTACTGGAATATGCATGACGGAATTCATATAAGGGCATTCTAGGAAAAAATACCATACCCGTTTCATATTATCATCTGAAAATATTTACATGTGTATTATCTGAAGTTTCATTCAAACTTTAATAGTCAATATATAAACAGAGGATATTTCCGTCACTATTGAATCGACTTTCCTGAATGTTTATTTCTACTAACTAAAGATGATAAGCAAAAGATACAAAGTGTTTCATGCAAAACTTACTATGTTTAATAATCCAAATATCTCGTTAGTAGCCACCGTCACGGTAGCTCAGTCGGTAGAGCGCTCGCTCCGTGATCGGAAGGTCGGGTGTTTGAATCACGGCCGCGACTGACCTAAGTCGACAAAAAAATAGGTAGCAACAATTCGCCAAGCGCTCAACACTTTGAAGTGAAAGTTGCGGGTCTTTCGGATGAGGCCTTTACAACCGAGGCCCCGTGTCACTGCTAAATCTGAAGCCATTATACATTTATTTGAGAACCCCAATGAAAACCAAAACCTTAATAAATAAGAAAAGTGAGATCTTTTAAATTTGATTCGTGGCATTTTTAACACTATCACTACAGAAATGTATAAATGTGTTATTTTTAATCTTCAATATAAATCGTAAAAAATAAAAACACGGATCTGTGCATCAGCAAGGAAATGAATAACAGAATAAAATATTTGCATTCCTGCTATGCGTTTCTTATAACAGAACTTATGAAAATGTTTGAAGAAGAAATTTTGGACTAAAAGTTATTGAATTTAAGGATGTTTGCACACTTTCCTCTAATTCACTGTTTACCCACACGAGATACGATGGATAACGTCAATTACTGACGGAACCTTTCTGATGAATTACATCTTAACGATTTGTTTTCGTTCGACGCATCTTCTTCTTTTGCAAGATGGTACTTTGATATATTTGCAGAGGTCAATATCACTACTTTCAGTATATGATCCATATTAATACCCACTCTAATTAAAGGAGACAGAGAAGCCCAGCATTAAATGCCTCAAATTTAAAGCAAAAAAAAAAAAAGAGAAAGAGAGAGAGAGAGCATGGAAAATTATCCAGCTTTGTTTGAAAAAACTAGTCAGCAATCTAGATTTACGCATCCTTAAATTGATAGTTTCTCAAAACACAATCTAAATTGTAAAACATTTTTTTCTCTACATGTATTAGAAGTCACTGTTAGTGGCTTGTAAGACATTTTCCGGTATTTGTTAACTCTGCAATAGTGAAAACTATGTGTTATATTAGATATTCATGTACTTTATGTACAATTTTTCAAATTTAAAAAAAAATCTTGTTGTAGCCTTGAGCTTTCTTTGATTGCCTGCGATTCTCCTCACTACTAATTTCGGGGTTTTTTTCTTAGTAGTGGGTGTGTATGCCCTCCAGTGACAGAACAGTAAATCTACCTGAGGGAATAAGAAGATAGGCACTTGTGTTATCATATCCTGAAGAACATGAGATAATGCATGGATCTGCCGTATAGGAGTCGCAATCACAAAATTATCAGACCCCCCCCCCCCCTCTTTAGACACATTGGTATTCGACAAAATTAAGGGAAGACAAAAGTTGTTTTGTCATTTCATTTTATCATGAATGCATCTGTTGCCATTGTCATTGGGTTTGGTTTCCAACTGACATAATCTGTCACTTGAAAATTAAGTCTCTCTACAAATAAGTCCAGTTTGAGCGGAGCAAATAGTTTGTAGATATTACCGAGTACTCGATTTCTTAGTTTGGCCTTCCAGTTCTCTTCTAAAAAAAATGCTGTTAGATTTTGTGGACCCGGAAAGTGCTCAGTAGTAAATGTTTTCTCTCTTGGAACTCTTGGAAATTTTGGTCAAGATTGGGGATCTGATCCATCCTTTTTTTCTCTTTACATATGACATTTTTGTTGCCTTGTCCATTTGCAGGTGAACAAAAACATGATTCTGTTTTGGACAACTGATAAAGAGCAATGTCTGCTGCTTTTACAGTCTCCCTTATGCTTTGAGTGGAGGCAGAACCTATTTAGTGCGATGTATAAATATGACAAATTAGTACTGTCTACGTTCGAATAGACATGCAACATTTTGTATGATCAGTCATTGTGATAGTTTTCTCAGTTTGTTTCTACATTTATACTGGACTTATTTTTTGTCCAGATAGTCAACATTTTCCAATTTACGAGCGTAGGCTATCCAAGTCTTTACTGTATGGGCCGACACCATGTACCTCCTTGGTTGTTCTGTATATCGTCGCCAAGAGAGAGAATGAGAGAAAGAGAGATTCCTTGTCTCTTTTATAAATTATATTCATCATGTTATTTGCAATATTCTCCTCTTCACAGTGTTGATAATATGCATGTTTATCAAATATAGCGATGCTGCTTCACTGGAGGTAAAAACAATGACACTAGCGATCTCAAGAAAATTGAACGTAAATGTTTCGATATCATAATCATCATCATCAATATTTTTGAAACTCTTACAGTGGAGCGACAATATGTACAGTGAGGGTGGGGACACACGTGGTCGCCAGCGACAACATGTACATTTATAATTTTGCAACCTGTTACAATATGTACGAGAGTCGTTCAATAAGTAATGCAAAAGATTATCAAAAATAAGAAAAGCACAAAAAGCAGTTTCTTTATTATTCTAATCCTTCAAAGTATTTCCTGTTGACCTTTACACGTCTCAAGTCTCTTTCCTCATAACCGGAACAATCTAGCATTACTTTTTTGGAGGGTAACCCAAAAGACACTGATGGATAGCACTCCCCATGACTGATCTAAAATAGTAGCGTCTTTCTTTGATGTGTCAAGTATCTTTACTCATAACTGGAACACCCCAGTATGCTCTTTTTTGGGGTAACCCAAAAGACACTGATATATAGCACTCCCCACGACGGATCTAAAATAGTAGCGTCTTCCTTTGACGGTTTATTTGAGTTTGAGGGGGGATGTCAAAATCACTGAGATCTAGCAAATACGGGGGTTGGCTTAGCTCTGTAAATGTTCCTTTCTTCCTTTTCACATTTTGAAAATATTGAATCTCGATGTTAAGGAGGCTTGGGGGTCAACAAATTAACCATCAGATATAACTTAATTTTTTAGATAAGATATCTTACGCTGTCAACTATCATTTGGAAAATTCTCATACATTTAAGTTTCAAAATTTGATCATTTTTGTATATCTTTATATGGAGCTCTTCTTCTAAAGGAGATCAATATAGTCTGAAAATGGCCACAACCACCAAGCCCTCTTAATTTTTTATTATAAAATATATACTTACCCTCCTTAATATTTCCCACTCCTCACTTTAGACATCAGAGATGGCAGTGAATTTTTCAGGCCTATGCTTCCGTTGTTCTGGCTATCCTCTGGATGGGTTATATTTATATACTAAATAACCTGGCTTGATGAACAGAAATAGCCAACAGGTATAAAGTATCGATCACATATATATCAAGACATAAATCTGTTTAATTTCAAATAGAGTGGACATTAATATTCTTATAAGCTGTGTTTTAATTTGGTTTCATGTTATTTTTTTTAACTTGCTAATTGAAAATATGATTTTGAATTCTTTTATTCAAGGAAAATTTATTTGCAACAGCGTTGTCGGTTGTAAGTAAATCACCCTGAGGACTGGTATTTGAACATCTCTTTCAGAAAAACAGTTTATCTTTCCTCAATACAATTTAAACAAAAAAAAACTACCATTGATGGTCCTTCTCTTTGGGTGTAGGTACTTGTATTACTTGACCTCTCGAGGAAAAAGAAAAATCCGTATAAAACTTGTTTGGAATTATGGCTTCTCTTGCAATAAAAGGACGACAGCTTCCTCTCTGATTCCACACTTGCATTACTGACCTTCCATTTGGGCTATAAACAGTGCACCCATGTTTTGTCATCCATCACGCAAGTTTATCATACCTTTGATAAAATGTTTATATTTTAACAGACCCTTTGCACATTTAACGCACGTTTTCCTATAACCATCTGTAAGGAAATAATGCACTCATTTGACTTTTTTTTTCAGATTCATTTCCCTCGTTAGAACCCAATCATCTGTCGTGATGATGAAATGTTTAGTGCTTTAGCAAGATCTCTTACTGTAAATCTAGCATTTTCAAATGTCATGTTCCTCACAGCATCGATATTTTTTGGTGTTTCTACAGATCTCGATAGACCAGTTCGAAGTCCCCCTTTCCATTTTTTCTTCCGCACTGCGTGAAAGACTTATC